CAGCTGGAAGCCTCAGTGCTACCAACCGCAGTGAGCCCTGAGAATGTACCCAGCACCCTCAGGAGGACATGGCTTATCACAAAACTCTACCTCCTGCAGGCCCCATTCTTGGAGGCCAAGGATGGAGCAAAGCACATTCAGTTAGCCAAGACGGCAGGTGTTAGTCCAGGCAGTCTTCTATGATATAGATACATATTGCCATATATGGAATGAAAACTTCTAGGGAAAAGGAAAAAGAAAAAAAAAAAGATTGGACTAGGCTTAAAGAAAAAAAGACCTAAAGATAGCCTAAACAAAGCACACCCAGCCCCTCCATGACTGCCTCACCGTCTGCTAGCCATATGGTGTGCGATAAGCCAGAACGCTTTTATTTATCTTCCTTGACTTGTCTATAAAGCAGAGTGAGCCAGCCCCAAGGAGAAAATTTCTCATGCAGTAGAGGTTGCGCTATTTTTACAGTCCCTAACCCCTAGTCCTGCTCCTGGAGGCCCACTGCCCGGCACCCCTCCCCCATTCCTGCTCAGCCCCTCACAAGCCACTGCCTCCACAGCTGCTTTTCTACAACTGGAAAAACCATAGGCCATGCTTGTTGCCTCCTCAGACAGCTGTGCTGCATTGTGGACAGTGTTCTGCCATTCCTCCACTCAGGTCCCCCGACATAGTCCAGACAACAAACAAACAAAAAAACAAACTCACTGCTGTTGACTCAGTTCCAACTCACAGTGACCCTTCCGTGAGTTTCTGAGGCAGTATCACTATGGAAGTAGACTGCCCAACCTTCCTTCTGAGGAGAGGCTGGTGAATTTGAACCACCAGCCTTCTGGTTAGCAGTCAAATGCCTTAGGCACTATGCCACCAGAGCCTAGACAATAACTACTAAGAAAAAGAAACTTTCCTAGTTGCTACATTACAAAAGGAGCCCTGGTGGCACAATGGTTAAACCTTCTGCTGCTAACCAAAAGTTTGGCAGTTCAAACCCACCAGTGGGAGAAAAGACCTGGCAATCTGCTCCTGTAAAGACTGCAGCCTATGGAACAGTTCTACTCTGTCACATGAAGTCACTATGAATCGGAATCTTCATGACCAGATCACCAGGCCTTTCTCCCATGGAGTCTCTGGGTGGGATCGAACCTCTAACCTTTGATTCTCAGCCAAGCACTTCCATAAAGTCAAGTCTAGAAAACACTATGTGGCAGTTCTTCTCTGTCACATGGGGTCACTATGAGTCAAAAAACCAACTTGATGGCACCTAACAACAACATAGCCATCAACTGGCATAACATATTACACAAAACATTGTTCCACTTCCTACTGTGGCGAGTAGCGACTGGGATCTTAAAAGCTTGCAAGCTGCCATCTAGATGCAAAGATGGGTCTCTCCTCATCCAGAGCCAAGAAGAATGAAGAAAACCAAAAATTCATGGAAACAATTAGTCCTAGAGACTGGTACACCATCCGATCTGCAGCCTATATGACTATGAGACCAGAAGAACTAGATGGTGCCCTGCTACTACTGTCAACCACTTGGAAGAGGATCTATGTAGGAGATCCTGGATAGACAGGGAGAACAATGTGGAACAAAACTCAAAATCATTTGGAAAAAAAAAAAAAGGCAGGGGACCAGGTTTGCTGGCCCGATGGAGCCTGGTGGAACCAGAGACTATGGCCCTAGCTGCCCTTCAGATCTGGAATTGAACACACATCTGTGGCTTCCAGCCAAACAATGGACAGACATATGAGTTGAACATTTACCTCAGGTAGATACACTCCTTGGAGAGAACAAGCATGGGAGAAAGAAGGGCTGCTTATGCATCAGGAGACAGCTCAGGGGGCAGGAATGAATGGAGGGATGGACACAGGGAAGAGGTAACTGTCGGGAGGAGGTGGGAGGGGAGATGTTGCATTGTGGTAAATTGTGGTCAATGCATGAGACAAAGTGTATGTGAACTGCTGTATGGAAAGTGTATTTGCTCTGTAAATTTTCACCCAAATTACAATAAAAAGAAAAAAAAAACATAGCCATCTTGAGTGGTGTGTAACAGAGATACTGCCTTTTGAATCATGAAGGCCTTAGAGGTCTCCACCTCTTTGCACAAGAAAACGGTCAACCAAATAACTACATCCAATATTCTAAGTCCAAGTTCACTACAGCAGGCCTGATTTCTTGCTGTCGGTGAAATGACCCAAATAATCACATAAACATTCTGTGCTCACCCTGCACTTGTGAGCCCTGTCCTCAGCCTCCAAATTCTTCTGACCATCATCTCAGTCATTCCTCTTGTCAGCATGTTTTGATTGACTATAGAAGTGATGCTTATGGAGTGGAGGCATACCATTAAAGCTGCATCCATCAATAGTATGGCCAGTTAAATGTGAATTTCAAGTAAATCATAATTTTTGTTCAGTATATTTAGGTACCATGCAATATTTGGGGCATACTTATACAGTAAAACCTGCAAAAGTCAGAACATGTGTTAAGGTTAACTTGGCTGGGCCTGGTTTTGAGTGGCTTGCAGCTGGATGTAGTTATTCTCCATAGTGAGATTGGAAATCAATTCCATGGTGGAATCTACTGTGAGCAGCTGAGTAGCTGCCTCGGGGATACAGTCTGCTCCCAGTATATAAGACAAACCTTTACGAATGGTCTGCAGCTTTTGGCATGCTTGAACCCTGCATGTAGCCAAGCAGTTGTTCAGCAGCCTGCCATGTTGTCTACCGATCTTGGGACTCTTAATGGACTTGAATCAATGGCCTGCCGTGTGGTTTGGTAATATCAGAACTGTGCCTTTTTATTTGTTGACTTTGGGTTTGTCAGCCTCAGTAGCCAGCAGCTGCCTGAGTGAAGAAAGCCTCCAGCTTCAGTGGGCCAGGAGCAAGGAGCACAGCTGAAGCTGAAGCTGAAGCCCAAGATTGAGGGGCTTTCCCCCGGCCCCTAGAGCCTGGCACTTTGAACTCAGACTTCTTGCCTCCAAAACTAAGAGAATATACTCCTGTTTGTTCAAGCCATCCTATTTGTGGTATATTTCTGTTAGAGTAACACTAGGTGACCAAAACAGAGGGAAACCTGTCAAAAAGGAAAACTCAAATACTTTCAACTAAAAGGAGAGAGAGAAAAATGGTAAGACTACACCATGTCAAAGATGGAAAACTTATGAGTTGTGGACAAACAGTGTGGTCCCCACTGAGTTCCAGCTAAATCTGATGAGCCTGCAAATCAAAATGAAGTGGGACTGATCACATAGGCAGCGCTGCTCTTCCCCAGTCAACCTTCAGAAGCCATCACAGAAACAGTCCTGCCTCCAGCCTGGACCTCAGTGCTGTTCCCTGTGTGCACTATACAAAGGCCTGAGGGTCTGTGTGGCCCTATCTCACAGTCAGCATCTCTGGTAGCCACAGGCAAAGGGCGACTTATTTGCGGCATACTTATATAGTAAAACCTGCCAAAGCAGGAAGTGGTAAAGAGGTCTGAAGGGAACCATTTATAGCACAGGCCTACCATGAGAAAGTCCAAGGGAAGATGCTCTGTCCCCAGCAAGTGTAGAAATACTAAGCACGGGCACTCACAGGCCTCAGAGTGTTTGGAGGTGACACTCCTGGGCAGCCTCACCCACTCAACGCCCAGGGCATCCATGCACCAGTGTAATCTAAAACCTAGAGTGGTAAGTGGCTGGTTGGCTTAACAGGAGCACTAACAGCTTTATAAATGGCCTTCACCTGGGGCCTTAGGGCAGCTGGTCTGGGCAGGCCCCAGCACGTGTTCTGGCAAAGACACAACCATGCCTCACTGAAAATCATCTCAAGTACAGGGACTTGTGGGCTCTGGGCCAGACCAAGTGCCCAGGGATGTGTGCACATTTCTCTATACACAACCCAGAAGTATCGAGAAGCAGCTGTTAGTCTCTTACTCTGGCACTAATAACACAATAATAGAAAGATACTTCATCTCCAATTTGTAGGCTATTCTTGCTATCAGTCAGAAATCCACTGGCTAATAATATTAGGTTAAACTATATGAAACTGACATGTTTATAAGTCAAAAATGTTAAAATATTGGCAATTACATATGGCCCAACCTAATAATAATAATATTACTGAGTGCCTGCTGCTGTATATCAGACACTATGCACAGTTCTTTACGTATATTCACTGTGGAATGTTTAGTTCTATGACCACCTTTTGACGTAGGTTTTACCACGTCCATCTTAAAGATGCAGCAACTGAGACACCGAATATAGGCACAGCCCACATTCATTCCACTCTCCACATAGCATGCATCACATGAGTTTTCTACCTCCTGTGCTCCCTGGCTCAACCCGTGGGTCAGTGTTGGCCATTTTTGGAATCACAGGCACTGCCAGGACTCACACCAGACTGGTTCCTGCCTATGCAGAGGCCACTCTATGGCTAATCAGAGCTTGATCTCCTGAATCAGCAACAAAGTGTATTTAAGAAATAATCTCAAGAGGAGAAAAACATTCAAAAGTTTACTTAGACCAAGAGAGGAAAAGGACCAAAAACTGAACTCCTAAAATAAACCAAGTATTAAAGGAGAACAATCTAGTTGAACCAATTTTAAAATGTCTGAACTGTGACTATGGGCTAACATGTAGTCGATCATTGAGAAAGACATCTCATGCAGTATGATCAAGGACCACCTCAGCCCCAGAGGTAAGTGCTTCTGGGGCTCCTCTAAGAAGATTCCTGAGCCACACAGACACAAGAAGATGAAAAACCTGCCAAAAGAACAAATAAAAACCAGAGACCACCACTGGCCTCTGGTCCACTTCAGAAGAGAGAGAGGCCGGGACTAACACGTAAGATAACAGGGCTCTCAGACTCTGGCTTAAAAAAAAAAAAGACGGAGAAAAGAATATTCTCCTCCCTATCAAATAAAATTTTGAAAGTCAGAGGATAACTGATGCCCAATGAAAGAAGTTTCCACCTGTTCAAATAAATACCTGTGGAGATCAAAGTTTGAAGACTGAGAAGAAAGGACTGACCTTCACGTGGGCTAAGTAGTGATGGCATGTCTCCTCCATGTGGACCAGCTGCAGCTTCTCTGTGATCTGACCTGCAGTCTCTCCCAGCAACACAAAGTAGACCCTGGGTGGCTGGCCCTTTTCCTTTTTGGCCACATCAGCCGTCAGAACATAATTCAGCCCTGCCAATAAAGAAGGGAATAAATACATTACCAGAAACAGACATGCAGCGATGGGCCACATCCACATTTTATATATGATACCTCATCATCCACTGCATGGTGCACTGTGGCCAAAGTTAAAACCTTCTCAAAGAGAAGCATGGCAGCCAGGGTGCTCTAGAGAAACCCAGGATGTCACCTACCTTTCTGGTGACACTGGTTCACCCTGGATGGCTCTCCCTGATATTTTAAACCTCACCAGTTATCAACTAAGCCACATATCAACAATTAGTTGTGCCTAACACGTTAGTATTCTAAAAAGCAGACATGATGAATCCATACAGTATTGCTAGAAGCTGCCGAAATTATCTATGCATCATGTAATATTGACTTTATAAAGTAATGTGATTTACGCCCAAAACACAGAGCAACCACTTTGAATAATTCTAACTAATCTCATAGATATTGAATCATGCTTTATAGCCATTGTATCTACCAGGCCAATCGTGGTTTACTGAGCACCAACTATGTGACAAGCATTGTTGCAGGGACAGGAAATACATCAATGAACAACATAAGCAAAAAAGCCCACCTTCATGGTGCTTGCACTCATGGAAATGGAGATGAAGGCTAAAGATGGATTCATTCCCAGGTAACCAAGAGTGGTGACCAAACAATTTTAGTGCCTATCATCCCAACAGGTCCCTGGATAGCACAAAGGGTTTGTGCTCAACAACTAACCTAAAGGTTGACAGTTCTAATCCACTTAGTGGTGCTGTAGAGAAAGGGCCTGGTGATATACTTCCACGAAGATCACAGCCAAGAAAATACAAAGGAGTAGTTTCACTCAGTAACATATGAGGTCATCACAAGTTGGCATCTACTCAACAGCAGCAGGTTTGGGTTTTTTGGTTATCATTTCAACAGGAGTCCCTCAGTTTGTTAACATGCTCAGTTGCTAACCGAAAGATTGGATATTTGAGATCAATGGCACCTTGGAAGAAAGGTCTGGTGATCTACTTCTAAAAAATTAGCCACTGAAAACTTCATGGAGCACAGTTCTGCTCTGACACACATGGGGGGCCATGAGTCAGCATCAACTCAGCAGCGACTCTGATTTATCATTTCAACAAAATTGTGATCACTGTGGGGCCTGTGCTGAGGCTTACTCCTGAAAGAAAGACATCACCTATACCTGATATGCAAGGCCAGACGGCAGCACCCTGTGACACAATCTAAGGCTTAAAGAAAAAAAAAAAAAAAAAATGATGGTCACAATACAGAATGTATCTGGTCCACTAAATAAGCCCAAAAGGTTAGTAAATACAGAACAATGTGAGTCTTTATACAAACACACACACACACAGGTTTAGTATTAATAGGCCTACTTCACTGCTTTTCTTTGCCACAGAATGCCATTTCAATGGTCAGTCCCTCTGTAATACTTTTTGAATTCAGAGAAATGTGGCATTTAAAAAATAACAGGACAGGAAACTTTCCTCACTAAAACAACCAGATGAACTTGCTGAGCAATGGAAATGCACTTGACCCAGCCCCTACCCATCTCCACACACCAGCCTCTTAGAAGCCTGTGTCCTGGCACCAGCCATACGCCTGCAGGCATCTAAGTAGGTGAAGCCTGGGCAGCAGGGATGGCTCTGGCTTTTAATAACATCAAAGGAATCAACCCCTAGGGGAGACATGAATGAGGAGTGAGGAAAGGACACTGTGCTGCTGCCCAGGAGCATACTTTTGATGCATTTAATAGCTTTCCTGGACCTCTGCCACCTCAGGGATCTTGCCACACCAAAGCTGGCTGATTCCTGGTCAACAAGGGCAAATCTGTCCCAACTTGTCTATTTCAGCAAACAGCTGATTTCCAAAGGAAGGCTGGTCACCAGGAGGACCCAAGACCTAGATAATCCCAATGCAGAAGAAAAGAATTCACATGGAAAAGCACTCTGTTGTGGTTACCTAGTACCTCTCTGACAAGAATATACCACAAATGGCTTGAAGGAATAATTTATTCTCTTACAGTTTGCAGGCTTTAAGTCCAAGTTCAAAGTGCCAGGTTCTAGGGGCTGGGTGAAAGCCCCTCAACTTTGGGCTTCAGTTCTGCCTCCTGCTCTGAGCCCACTGAAGCTGGAGGCTTTTCTTCACTCAGCTGCTGGCTGCTGAGGTTGACAAACCCAAGGCTGACAAGTAAAAAGGCACAGTCCTGATGTTACCAAATCACATGGCAGGCCATTCATTCAAGTCAATTGAAAGTCCCAAGGTCAGCAGAGCATGGCAGGCTGCTGAACAACGACTTGGCTAACTGCAGGTTCAAGTGTGCCATAAGCTAGAGACCATTCCCCAAGGCTTCTCCTGCTTGCTGTGTGGAAGCAGACCACATCCCTAAAGCAGCTACTCAGCTGCTCACAGTAGATTCCACCACGGAGGTGATTACCAGTCTCATCATGGGGAATACTACATCCAGCTGCCCAGCCACTCAATCAGGCCCAGCCAAGTTGACACAGAAACTTAACTACCACAGGCTCCAAGAGAGTAAACAGGGAGCCTACACAAGTATTACAAACCCACTCTGATGGGAACACAACAGGAAATGGGGTAGGCTCATAGAATGGCAAAGCTTTATGGCAATGTTAGGGATCACCTAGTGTTTAAAAAAGAAAAAAGAAAAACCACTTCATTTTTTTCAGATAAGGAAACTAAGGCCTTCAGAGGGAACAAGACTTACTCCCAACCATGCAACCATCTACTACTGAGCTGAATCTAGAACTCTGCTTCCCAGCATCTGGTGCTAGGTTATTCTTACCACACTGGTTCTTGGTACATTTTTCACATTACCTGACAAAAACCTCAGGTTGCCTGCACAGACAGCAGAACCAAATAAGTGCAGAGATCTAGAACTGAACTCTGGCCAATTTACTTTCTAATGACAACTTCCCAGAGCAAAAGCCAAAGGGTAACTATAAACGGAGTTCCCAAGTTCTGCTTAACAAGATCATGGCTGGAGATGGGCATTGCTGGAAGATGAGCCAATAACGAGGCTCAGTGGATAAACCAATGTGGTAGCAGCAGTTGCTGAGCAGCATCTGTGCAGCCCCATGCCTAACTCCTCCCAGGGGAGAGCTACACCGCCCTCCCTTAGGAAGAGTGATCCTGGAGAGAACAGTAGGTTTGAGATATCTTGTCTGAGATGAGCTAGCTGTGCTTGGAGAAAGACTGAGTAAAAACAAGGACAACAGAGCAGATGCCATTAGTGCCCCACCCATTTCTCTGCTCTCTGACTCAAATGCAATTGCCAGCATCTTCAACCCTTCTCCTGAGGACTTTCTCTGGTGGCTCTGCCCACATGCATGGCAAGCCAGAAGTGCCAGGGAACTAATGTCCCTGAAGCAGCCCTCAATCAATGCAGGACCCTAGCTCCCTTGTCTCTGGGTTGGGATAACTCTGAGGTATGTACTACATTGACTCCCAGTGTTCCCCAGTAGGATTATGCTCTAGCTGCTCACAGTGGGAACTTGCTCCATAACACACCCTTCATTTGGCTGCCTTCTCACCCTGTCTCACTGCCTTACTGGTGCTGAATGAACTATGTGCATGTGAACCTTCAACTCAGGGTCTGCTTCTGGGAGAACCCAAATTAAGATAAGGCAAGCCAGAGAAAGGGAAAGAAACCCATCTTCAATGTATGTCAAGTATTTGCTAGGTTCTTTACAAACATCAACTTTAGTCCTGCAAAGCCCCAAACCTCCCACGCCACCTCACTGTGGAATAGCTGACCCAATATATCCCTCTCCCAACTTAATCATTACCAGTACCAGTTGCTATTGAGTTGCTTCTGACTCATGGCGAACCCATGTGTGTCAGAATAGAAGTATCCCATAGGGTTTTCAATGGCTGATTTTTCAGAAGTAGATCGCCTTTCCTCCAAGAAGCCCCTCAGTGGACTGGAACTTCAAACCTTCTGGTTAGCAGCCGAACACATCAACTAAATTGCACCACACAGGGATGCCCTCCCAGTTTACACCTGTTGCCCTCAAATCAATTCCAACTCATAGCAACCCTATAAGACAGAGTAGAACCACTCCATTGGGTTTCCAAGGTGGAAATCTTTATGGGAATAGAATGCCACATCTTTCTCCCACAGAGCAGCTGGCAGATTCAAACCACCAACTTTCCTGTTGGCAGCCAAGTACTTAACCACTGCACCACCAAGCCTCCTTTTCAACTTAACCTAAACCAAACCCACTGCCATCAAGTTGATTCTGACTCATAGTGAACCTACAGAACAGAGTAGAACTGCCCTGTAAAGTTTCCAAGGCTGTAAATCTTTATGGACATAGACCATCTAGTGGGTTTGAACTGCCAACCTTTTTGTTAGCAGCCTAATGCTTTAACCACTGTGCCACCAAGGTTCCTTCCCAACTTAACCAAACCAAAAAACCAAACCCACTGCCATTGAGTCAATTCTCCCAACTTAAAGGAGGGTACAAATCCTTCAGAGTTAATAGAAATTGACCTGAGCAGAGGCAACCACTGATGAGCTCACAGGCCGGGTATGTATATGGCAACACATTGGCCTATCAAATGTTCCTGAAATGTTAATATAACCACAGGTCAAGTGAATTATCCTAATTTACCAAGTGCAATCATTTTGGAAGCATTTCGTCTCTAGATCTGCCTTCTTACAGCTTCCCGTTGATTGAAATTTTGTTTTGACATTTTAAATTACCCAAAAAGAAGTCGTCTCTTTCGGAAGGACCCTCAGGATGTGAAATCCTGCCTGAGTAGGAGTCTCTCGGTGATTGAAGTAGCAAGAAGAAATGCAGTCCATTTTGAAGCCCTGAGACCGTCTGCAGTTTTAAAGAGCACCCACCCCAAGGGTGTCAGGAAGGAAGCCCCTAAGGGGAGGAGCTAGTCAGGATGCAGCAATTCACTCGCTCAGTTTAGGGCTTGGGGCCCCGGGAGGGTGGGTGCATTGGGCTAGGCAAATCATTGGCAGTTGGTGATGT